CAAGGATCCTAGACTGTGAACTTGTTTAAAGTGTCTTTTAATGATTAGCAGGCAGTGTAAAGAGACACACATCCACATATTTGCTTAAGCAAGCATGTTACCTACCTGTCACGGACACATTTAGCACACATGGAACCACCATAAGCCCTGCTGACGTGTTTTTTGGTTTTAGACAATCTCATCAGGACTTTAGGTCTCACAGCACGAACCTGCATTAGGAAAACATTGAGATTATTTTGGGATTCTTTCAAATTCAGCCCTCACTCTGTTGTTCACATCAAAAAGATCACTTACCCCACGAAGTCTGCCTGGGCACACACCGCATGCAGATTTGGGTGCCTTCCCAACCTTCTTAGTATAAAGGTAAACAATTCTGTTACCAGGAGTTCGGGACCTAGAAAGCAAGACCACAAAGCCCAACACCTCAGCATTCTTGTAGAGTAAATGTAGAAAGCACAATAAGAATTTTTTTTTTAAAGAGACTGATTTATTTATTTGAATGACAGAGTTACACAGAAAGAAGGCAAGACAGACTGACTGCCCACCCACTGGTTCACTCCCTAAATGGCCCCAACTGCTGCAGTTAGGCTGGTCGGAAGCCAGGAGCTTCTGGGTCTCCCACATGGGTGGCAGGGGCCCAAGCACTTCGGCCATCTTCTGCTGCCTTCCCGGGCACATTAGCAGGGAGCTGGATCAGAAATGGAGCAGCTGGAACTCCAACTGGCACCCACATGGGATCCCCCATCATAGGTAAAGGTTTTATCCACTATGCCACCAAGCCACTCTGACAATAAGGATTTTAAATTTCAGAACGACTTACAGTCTGGTTTTGTTGGAGGCTGTATTGTAGGACAGCCTCCGGCGGTACGTCAAACGCTGGACCATTGTGGCTGCCTAAATCAAGAAGGAAGTAAGGCCAAGTTTTCCTTTGGTAACAAAGCAGCATCACAGTTTATACACCACTCACATATATACACTCATGCAAAACACATTATCTGTCTTGTTCAAAGGATTCCACATTTCAAAACCACTTAGAGGTTTTCGTAACGGTAATGAAAGATGGTATTTGGCTAAAATTCTGACCATCAGAGTCTTTCCTCAAAGAACCTAATTTTGTTTATACTGGGGTCCAGGAAACTATTACCACTCAAGCAAGAGAAACACTGGTTTACAGAGGAGTACAAATGGGCACTGAAATTGAATCCTGAGTAGTGTCATTCCCTAGGAATACACATGCAAGGATCTAGGGTCCTTATCTCTAATAGGATTTTCACCTAGTTTCTATGACTGTCATTAGGGTTACATGCTGCCAGCTATCCCACACCACACAGTGCCTGGATGCAGTTAGGTGCTTAGAGTTCCGTCTTCCCTAAAGCAGCCTCTCATCTGTGTCAAGATTAAGTGCCCTTTAATATGGTGGATTTTGATATTACATGTGTAGCACCTGTTCCCCCGCTCCATTTATCAAATGTAAATACCTGACATTACCTGATCGAACCAGCTACAGATAAACGATTTTTTTTTCTGTTCAGCCATTTCATATAGAAGGAGGGTACCAAAACCCCCTCCCTCTTCAGATCATGGCAATTTTAATCTATCCCACAAGCATAGCCACTAAAATCTATTAATTGGAGAAAATGTGGTAGTCAAATGGGAAGACGCCTTTGCTTTTAAGTGAACTATGGAAAGCCACGTTAAGACTAACCAGTCTAATCTCTTCATTGTACACTAAAAACGGCACATAAGGCTAGAGCGAGTGATCCAAAAAAACCTCTATGCCATTTGCATCTCCACACCCAAGGCGGGTACAACATTTTTACTCGTTCTGGAAACAGAAGCCAACAGCGAAACCACACGTACCCGTCCTCCCAAAGCCTGATAGCTACAGGCCCGATATTAAAACGTGGGCATTATGTCCCGAACATGTTCTGCGAGTTCCCGGTCTCAACCAGAGGAAACACAGCTCATTTCAGCCCCCAAACGCCGGGTTTCAAGGGCGGCAAAGCCTCCTGGCGACGAGCTCCCGCGACTCACGACTTCAAGGGACGCCAGGATCGAGGGGCTTCCTAGGCTCAAAGTAGGGGAGATCGCCCATCATCAGCCTCCCTCCTGCGCCCTTAGTCTTACGTCAGCTCAAAGAACCATCCCTTAGAGGTCTGGTTTCCCGCAACTCTTGGGATGGCGGCGGATTCTAAAGCCCATAACTCCAACGAGAGAAAAACAGCTACCATACCTCTAAGCACCGTCCCGGAAGAGGAAGAAGCAAGCACGGGCGGGTTCAAAGGTCAAAAGCGATTACGCAGGACAGGAAGTTGCGTCAGAGCCAGCGGGCGTGGCCAAGAGCGCGCCGACATGTTGTACGGAAGCCGAAGCAGCTAGCCCCCGTGGGCGGGACTGCGTAGCGCCGCCACGTTGTACGGCGGCCTCCGGGAGACGGTACGTGCCCTAACCGTCCACCTGGCGCGAAACTAGACTCGTTTAGGAATCGCTGTAGGGGCGAACGCAAATGAGAGAGCCAGTCCTGGCGTTCGACCTGGATTTAAATCCCGACCATCACCTCATTAGGTGGCCTTTATGGACTTCCCCTGTTTTAGCCTGCCCCCCCCCCTTTTTTAATCATTTATTCAAGCAGAAGCTGTACAAATTAGGCTTTTGATTCAGTATCTGCTAATGACTACCTGTGTTACTTTCGGCCAAGTCCTTAAATCGCTGAACGGGAGACTTCGGTAACGAACCTACCATGTCACGTCACAGGCATCATGAAGTTAAAAGAATGGAGAGTAGTCTCTGAAGTGCTCGTAGATGATGGGTGATTTTAGGGTTAAGTACAAGGGCTACCTGAGGCTCTACATGAGTGGTAAGGTTTGAGCAGGACAGTAAAAAAAGAGTAGGAGGGCGGGAGAAACCAGCTTCTCAAATAGCAGCGTATCAAAGTTTAAGTAAAATTAGCGTTGAGTACCAAATTGTGTTTTTCCAGAGAAGAGGGTCTTTGGATTTTGCGGTATTGTCAAAGGGATTCATGACTTCCAAAAAAGTAAACTTTGGGCTTTAAGGGAGAATGCCCAAAAAGGCCTTTTTTAGGTTTTTATCTTACATGAGGTTCCCTGGCAACATACTGACAAAAAGACAGAGAGGAGAGAGTAGGGCCTGTACTTAGGAAATGCACCTGCTACCGAGCTGGGGCAGGCAGGATCGGGTGATTGACAACGTGGTGGCAGTGAGGCCCTTAGCTGTTGCAGGAGGGAGCTCTAGAATTAGGATGGTTCATCATACTTGTCCCAAATAAGCAAGCGGACTTGTTCATACTCCCACATCATCCAGTCCTTGGCCAGCTGCCCCTTGGCTGCTGCTGAGGCAGTTTCCTGAAGTTGAAGGCAACATTTAGTGAGGAAGGCAGCTGTGAACTAGTTGCCTGAACCGAAAGAAGATTTAAAAGAGCACCCGGGAGGGGTGGGTTCTGTGGCATAGCAGGTTAAGTGTCTGCCTGCCTGCGGGGCCAGCATCCCATTTGGGCCCAGTTCGAATCCCAGCTGCTCCACTTCGATCCAGCTCCCTGCTAATGGCATGGGAAAGCCCAAGTGTTTGGGCCACTGCACCATGTGGGAGGCCAGGAAGAAATTCCTGGCTTCAGATGGGCCCAGCTGTGACTGTTGAGGCCATCTGGGGAGTGAACCAGTGGATGCAAGACTACTCTCTCTGTCTCTCTCTGACTCTGCCTCTCAAATAAATAAATCTTAAAAAAAAGAAAGAGCATGCTAGTATCCACTCATGTTTTCCAGGTTTCCCAATCCAAGTAGCAAACAAAGTGAGGACGTGATGGAGGGCAGATGCTCTGTCCATCCAGACGGCTGCCTGGGAGGACTGTGTGGACTGTTAATGCCATCATGTCTCACATCACTGCCATCTTTGTTGTGATGCCAGAATGAAAGCTCTGGTTACACCTTTCCCTCTGCTTACTTTCAGATAGCTGCTTCTCTCCTGACCTGGTCGTGAGCTGCTTCCTTCCTTCCTTCCAGGGCTAGGGGTTGGAATGGAGACCAGTATAGAATACCAGTGTTGTTGAATAAATGAATGAATTTACTTGGAAAATGTTCTCTGTATTTCTAGAGAGACTTGGCTGGGCAGGTGAGTACAAAGAGATGGGAGCCCTAACACACTGTATTGCAGTTTATACCTCGTTCATGCCCCTCCTTACCCTAGTAGGTAAGAATAGTGGCCTCACTATTGAAGTTTTCTCTTATTTTTCATGTGATCTTTTCATTCTTTTAATCTATATTTCCATTTTTTTATCAGTCTTGCCAGAGACACAGCAGTATTATTTAAAAATGTCAGAGAACCTTTTTGTTTTTATTAATCTTGTTTTAGCTTTCTGTTCATTAATTTCTATATATGCTTACCATATGTGTCATAAATTTTTATGAAATAAATAGGATGAACTTATACTTTCTTCTGGCTTGGACCAGGAAGCTTTAAGGTTTAACGTTTGTTTATTTACAGGATTTTTGATAAAAATGATTAATTTTAATGACAAATTTCTCAGTCTTTTCTGAGTTTGTGCATCATTAAAAATTTTTCTACTCTAAAGTTTATAAGAATTAATCTATATTTTCTAATAATTTAAAGCCTTATTGTTGACTCCTTTCAAGTTTTATTTTTATGTATGGCGTGAGAAATACCATTTTCTTTTTTTCTTTCTGTGTTTTTAGTCATTTTTCCCCTTTATTTACTCAATACTTACTCCTTTCCCCACCAATTTGATATAGTACCTTTGTTATAAACCAAAGTCCTGTGTGTCTCTGAGTGTGTTTTGGCCCTCTGTTCTATTTCACTCGTTACCGTGTCTTTTCTTTATCGGTTCCACATACTCTTAATTTTTTTAGTAAGTCCTCATCACAGGATGGGCCAATATGGACCACATTTTCTTCTTCAGAAGGGAGATTCTTGACTTTTTCTTCTCCAGGTACATGTTTAGAGTCAGCTAATCTGAATTATGTTTGCATTCGCTTTACTGATTAAGGAAAAACTGACATTTTAATGACACGAAGTTTTCCTAAGAAGGAATGTAGTATATCTTTCCATATATTTAAGTCCTCCGTGTTTTTTTTTTTTCTTTTAAAGATTTATTTATTTATGGGGCCGACGCTGTGGCGTGGTGGGTAAAGCTCTAGCCTGCAGTGCCGGCATCCCATATGGGCGCCAGTTCGAGTCCCGGCTGCTCCACTTCCAAGCCAGCTCTCTCTTATGGCCTGGGAAAGCAATAGAGGATGGCCCAAGTGCTTAGGCCCCTGCACCTGTGTGGGAGATCTAGAGGAAGCTCCTGGCTTCTGGCTTCGGATTGGCACAGCTCCGGCCGTTGTGCCCTTTTGGGGAGTAAACCAGCGAATGGAAGAACTCGCTCTCTCTCTCTCTGCCTTTCCTTCTCTCTCTGTGTAACTCTGTCTTTCAAATAAATAAATAAATCTTTAAGATGTATTGAGACAGGCCAGCAGCTTGTTATGCTAAATATAGAATTCAGGGTTGCCAGTTTTTTCCTTTTTGTACTTTGAACATATCCTGCTGGTTTGTCTAGTTGGTTGGTGAGTATTTTTTTTTTTTTTGGTTGTTTACCTCCATGGTCTATTGATAAGTCAGATTTATTCTTATTTTTACTCCTTTACAGGTAGTTTGTCTTTTTATTTTCTCTAGTAGTCTTCTGAAATATTTTCTCTTTAGGTTGTTCTTCCATTAGCTTAACTGTGATATGATTAGGTGTGCTTTTCTTTTAATTGTTCAGTGGGCCAGCGCCGTGGCTCAACAGGCTAATCCTCTGCCTTGCAGCGCCGCCGGCACAGTGGGTTCTAGTTCCGGTCGGGGCGCCGAATTCTGTCCCGGTTGCCCCTGTTCCAGGCTAGCTCTCTGCTGTGGCCAGGGAGTGCAGTGGAGGATGGCCCAGGTGCTTGGGCCCTGCACCCCATGGGAGACCAGGAAAAGCACCTGGCTCCTGCCATCGGATCAGCGCGGTGCGCCGGCCGCAGCACGCCGGCCGCGGCGGCCATTGGAGGGTGAACCAACGGCAAAGGGAGACTTTTCTCTCTGTCTCTCTCTCTCACTGTCCACTCTGCCTGTCAAAAAAAAAAAATGTTCAGTGGGTCATAGGAACATTTTTCCCAAAGATATATTTATTTGAAAGGCAGAGTTACAGAGAGAAGGAGAGACAGATCTTTTCCCACTGGTTAACTCCCCAGATGGCCACAGTGGCCGAGGCTGGGCCAGGCTGAAGCTAGGAGCCTGGGTTGCCATCCAGGTCTGCAAGCACTTACACCATCTTCTGCTGTTTTCCCAGGCACAGTAGCAGGGAACTGGGTGGGAAGTGGAGTGGACTTGAACCGGTGCTCACACAGGATGCCAGCTTTGTAGGTGGCAACTTAACCTGCTGTGCCACAACTCTGGCCTCCGTAGGGAATTTTAACCTTTATCTTTATGTCTTTCCAAAGATTTATAAATTCTCACCTATTATCGGCTCAGATGTCACTTCTGCCCCATTCTCTTTTGTCTTTCTTGGTCTGCAGTTGCACATTGTGAATTGCAGCTGTGTCTCTACAGCCAGGATTCTCCATTGAAACAGAACCAATAGGCTAGCTAGCTGTCTGTCTATCTATCGATAGTAGTATTAGACCAGGTGGTAATGGAGGCTTAGAGTTCCCATGATCTTCCATTTACGAGGTGAAGGACCAGAAAAACCAATGATATAAGTCTCTGAATCTAAAGTCCTAAGAAGCAGGAAAGCTGATGTCTGAGGGCAGAAAATAAATGTCCCAGCTCAGAGAGCATATTCACCCTTTCTCTACATTTTTTCTGTTCAAGCCCTCAACACCTTAGGTGGTGGCCACCCACATTGGTGAAGGTGATCTTTACTTCTTGTACAGATTCAAATGCTAATCCTTTTGCAAACACCCTTACAGACACACCAAATCAATGGTTTACCAGCTGTCCATAGCCCAGTCTTGAAATTAACCATCACAGAGGGCTGGCATCATCTGAATACTTTTTATGTTTAATCCCTGTGTTGGGATGCCTTGAAGGCTAGACTTACCTGGAATTGTCAACCAGACTGTCTATACATAAGCTTATGGAAGGCTTAGCACTCTCACAAATGGTTGTTTGCTTCTGAGAGGGAGGTTTTCATCTAGAAGGCAAGCATTCTAAGAGAACTGTTTGAAGCTGTGAACCTGCAGAAACTGTGACTTAGACTTGGTATGCACATAGCATCACTTCCATCAAGGCTGTCACAAACCCACAGATTCATAGGAAGTGGACAGGGGTGAACATTTGGTGCAGCGGTTGGAACACCACCTGGGACCCCCTCCTGCCCCCATCCCGTGTTGGAGTGCCCGCCTGGTTGTGGTCCTGGCTACTCTGCTTCTGAACCGGCTTCCGACTAATGCTTATCCTGGGAGGCAGCAGCTGATGGCAAAAGTACTTGGGTCCCTGCCATCCACAGAATGAGTACTGGGCTTTTTTTTTTTTTTTTTTTAAGATTTATTTATTTACTTGAAAGAGTTACACAGAGAGGAGAGGCAGAGAGAGAAAGAGAGAGAGAGAGAGGTCTTCCATCCACTGGTTCACTCCCCAGATGGCTGCAATGGCTGGAGCTGCGCCAATCTGAAGCCTGGAGCCAGGAGCTTCTTCCAGGTCTCCCACATGGGTGCAGGGGCCCAAGGACTTGGACCATCTTCTACTGCTTTCCCAGGCCATAGCAGAGAGCTGGATCAGAAGTGGAGCAGCCGGGACTTGAACCAGTGCCCATATGGGATGCCAGCGCTGCAGGCGGCAGCTTTACCTGCTACATCACAGTTTTAGCCCTCGAGTTCTGGGCTCTTTATTTCACTCTGGTCCAGCCCTGGCTGTTGAGGACACTTGGATCATGAACTGCAGGAGGGAGATCTCTGTATTTTTGTCTCTCTGCCTTTTAAATAGAAAATGAAAATAAATTTAAAAAGTTTAAGAAGAAGGTGGACATTTATGGATAGAATGTCAGTGATTTTGAGATTATATTTGAAAACCACAACCACTTCTTTTTCTCACTTCCTCTTGATTTTTTTTTTTTTTTTTTGACAGGCAGAGTGGACAGTGAGAGAGAGAGACAGAGAGAGAAAGGTCTTCCTTTGCTGTTGGTTCACCCTCCAATGGCCGCCGCTGCAGCCGGCGCACCGCGCTGATCCGATGGCAGGAGCCAGGAGCCAGGTGCTTTTCCTGGTCTCCCATGAGGTGCAGGGCCCAAGCACCTGGGCCATCCTCCACTGCACTCCCTGGCCATAGCAGAGAGCTGGCCTGGAAGAGGGGCAACCGGGACAGAATCCGGCGCCCCGACCGGGACTAGAACCCGGTGTGCCGGCGCCGCAAGGTGGAGGATTAGCCTATTGAGCCACGGCGCCGGCCCGATTCTTTGTTTTATCCTGACCTGCTTTTCAGTTAATTTCTTCTCTCCTCAGCTATGTCTAATTTTCTGTTAAATTCATCCACCAAAGTTCTTAATTTTAGCTATCATATTTTTGAGTCCTAAAGTGTTATTCACTTCTCTGTTTATATTTTCCATTTCAGGCTGAATTTTTCAATCTTGACATACCATTTAATACCTGACTACATTTAGCATAATTATTTTAATGTTTTTGTGACTGATAACTCCATTATCTGAATTCCCCGAGGATCTCCATTATCTGATATTTATCTTCACTTTTGTCGCTTTATCTCTTAATGTGCCTGGTTATCTTTGTCTTTGATTCATTTTAGGGCATTTTATGTAAAAAATTAAAAATAATTCAGGGCCTTGGATAAATACTCATTTTCAAAAAATGAACTACCTTAATTTAAGATACCTTATGATCTTATGATTCTGATGAGAGTACCCCCCACATTGCTCTATGTTTTGGGGATTTTGTTGACAATGATTACATACAGATTTTTAAAAAAAGATATTATTTATTTATTTGAAAGGCAGAGTTACAGAGAAGCAGATGCAGAGAGAGAGAGAGAGGAGAGGTCTTCCATCCGCTGGTTCACTCCTCAGATAACTGCAATGGCTGGAGCCGTGCTGATCCAAAGCCAGGAGTCAGGGGCTTCTTCTGGGTCTCCCACGCAGGTGCAGGGTCCCAAGAACTTGGGTCATCTTCTACTGCTTTCCCAGGCCATAACAGAGAGCTTAATGGGAAGTGGAGCAGCAGAGACTTGAACTGGCGACCATAAGGGATGCTGGCACTGCAGGTGGCAGCTTCAGTGACTGTGCCACAGTGTCAGCCCCAACATACAGATTTGAGAATAAATTTGTTTAAATATAGATAAAAATCTGTTGCTATTCTTTTTGTTTTAATTTTATATATTAAATTGGGGAATCTTAACATCTTTATAACATTGAGTTATTCCAGCCAGAAACATGGAATGTTTTTCTATTTGTTATGTCTATTTTTAAAATTTCACTGACATAGGTTGTAAATTTCTTAATTATTTCTAGGTATTTTACTACTTTTTTTTTTTATTTGACAGGTAGAGTTATAGACAGTGAGAGAGAGAGACAGAGAGAAAGGTCCTCCTTCCGTTGGTTCACTCCCCAGATGGCCACCATTGCCAGCGCTGCGCTGATCCAAAGCCAGGAGCCAGGTGCTTCCTCCTGGTCTCCCACACAGGTGCAGCGGCCCAAGCACTTGGGCCATCCTCCACTGCCCTCCCGGGCCACAGCAGAGAGCTGGACTGGAAGAGGAGCAGCTGGGACAGAATCCAGCGCCCATATGGGAGCCGGCACCGCAGGCGGAGGTTTCACCAAGTGAGCCATGGCGCTGGCCCCACTACTTTTTTTTTTTTTTTTAATTTATTTTATTTTATTTGAAAGACAGAATTACAGAGAGAGGTAGAGACAGAGAGAGAGAGAGAGATCTTCTATCTGCCGGTTCATTCCTCAAGTGACCTCAAGGCTGGAGCTGGGCTGATCTGAAATTAGGAGCCGGAAGTTTCTCCAGGTCTCCCATGTGGGTGCAGGGGCCCAAGCACTTGGGCCATCTTCTACTACTTTCCCAGGACAGACAGAAGCAGGGAGCTGGATAGGAAGTGGAGCAGCCAGGACTCAAACCAGCATCCATATGAGATGCCGGAGCTGCAGCCCAGGCTTTAACCTGCTGCACCACAGCACCGGCCCCTGTACCTACTTTCTTGATAATGTAACTAACATCCTCTTTTTCATTATTCCACTTATCTGTTTTCTTTTTTTTGTGTATGTGTATGTGTTTTAAGAATTTTTTTAAACTTATTTGACAGGTAGAGTTATAGACAGTGAGAGAGAGACAGAGAGAAAGGTCTTCCTTCTGTTGGTTCAGTCCTCAAATGGCCACTATGGCCGGCGCTGCACCAATCTGAAGCCAGGAGCCAGGTGCTTCCTCCTGGTCTCCCATGGGGTGCAGTGCCCAAGCACTTGGGCCATCCTCCACTGCCCTCCCGGGCCACAGCAGAGAGCTGGCCTGGAAGAGGGGCAACCGGGACAGCCCATATGGGATGCCGGCGCTGCAGAATGTGTATGTGTTTTTATCTGTTTTCTTTTTAAGAGAAGGCTGTGGATTTTTGTTTATTCATTTATGTCTTGCTACCTCGGTGAATTCTCTTATTACTATATGATTTTTATTTTGGAGGTTTTTCCAGATGTATAAGCCAGCTGTATTACTTCTTTCTTCTTAATCCTTATGCCAGTAGTCCAATCCCATTGACTGATACCTCAAACACAGTATTAAACCATAGTGTAGACAATGAGCATTTTTGCCTTGTTCTGTTCTTCAACAGGAAAGCATCCTATTCTCTAGTAAGTCATATGTTAAGAAAATAACCATTAATCACTATTTTTTAAATGCTGTTTCCATGTCAGGAATGTGTATTGAATTGCTTAATTTCCTTTTCACCATCTGTTAAGGTGATAATTTGAATTTTCTCTTTAGATCAACTACTGAAGTTCATCATATTTTACAGGATAATGGGGCACCTATTGTAATTTGTACAAAGGCATCACACTGCTTGTGTTTCCCTGGCTCTTTCTCTGTCTGGAAGGCTGTTTTTCCAGGAATCTGCATGGTCTCCTCTTACTTCCTTTGTGTCTTTGTTCAGTGTCACTTCTGCAGTGAGGTCTAGTCTAACTCTCCCATTTAAATTGCACTATGCTGTCTTCCAATACCATTCCTAGTTTCCCCCACCTGATTTTATTTTTCTTCATACTTACAACTTTCTTTTTTATTTTTATTTATTTATTTATTTATTTATTTTATTTTTTATTTTTTGACAGGCAGAGTGGACAGTGAGAGAGAGAGACAGAGAGAAAGGTCTTCCTTTGCCGTTGGTTCACCCTCCAATGGCTGCCGCGCTGCAGCCGCCGCACCGCGCTGATCCGATAGCAAGAGCAAGGTACTTATCCTGGTCTCCCATGGGGTGCAGGGCCCAAGCACTTGGGCCATCCTCCACTGCACTCCCTGGCCACAGCAGAGAGCTGGCCTGGAAAAGGGCAACCGGGACAGAATCTGGCGCCCCGACCAGGACTAGAACCCGGTGTGCCGGCACCACAAGGCAGAGGATTAGCCTAGTGAGCCGCGGCGCTGGCACATACTTACAACTTTCTAACATATTCTGTGTTTATTTATTATGCTTATTGTATGTATCTGTATCCAATAGAAGTATACTCCACAAGGTTGGGGAGTTTTGTCCTTTTTCTTCTGATTGATATATTTCCAATGCCTATAGAAGTGCTTGGCACTTAGAAAGCATTACACACACATATTTACATATAAATTATTTATTTGAGAGGCAGACACAGAGATTATGTGTGTGTGCACTCCTGTTCACTGATTCACACCCCAAATGTCCACAATTCCCGGGGCTGAACCAGGCTGAAACAGGTAGCTGGGTACACAATCCAGGTCTTCCCAGTTGAGTCACAGGGACCCAACTACTTAAGCCGTCACCTGCTACCTCCCAGGGTATACATTAGCAGGAAGGTAGAATCAGGAGTGGAAGTAGGACCTAAACCCAGGCACTCTGATATGAGATGAAGTCTTCCCCAGCAGAGCCTTTTTCAAAAAAAATTTAATATTTTTAGATATACTTTAAAGTCTTTATCTTTTTAAAACAGATTTATTTATTTATTTGTTAGAGTTACACAGAGAAGGAGAGGCAGAGAGGTCTTCCATCTGCTGGTTTACTCCCCAATTGGCTGCAATGCCAGAGCTGCTCTGGTCTGAAGCCAGGAGCCAGGATCTTCTTCCAAGTCTCCCACATGGGTGCAGGGCCCAAGGACTTGGGCCACCTCCCAGTGCTTTCCCAGGCCATAACAGAGAGCTGGATTTGAAGTGGAGCAGCCGGGACGCGAACTGGCACCGATTTGGGATGCTGGCACTGCAGGTTGCAGATTTACCCACTACACCACAGTGCCTGCCCATCTTTATCCTTATCTTTTTTTTTTTTTTAAGATTTTTTTATTTATTTGAAACATTGATGCCTCAGAGAGGCTAACTTGCTTCTTGAAGGCCACAAAGGCAGCACATAAGGAGGAAGCAATCAAACAGGCAGGCATGAGAGAAAGGGAGTGTGAGCCTTCAAGCTTAGCATTTACAGCCTTCCACGATCTGGCTTCAAACTGTCTGCCAAACTCATGCTCTCTCCACCCCACGACATTGATTCATCCAGAGTAAATCTCCAGGCATTAACTAGAACCTGGCGCCCATATGGGATCCGCACCACAGGCGGAGGGTTAGCCAAGTGAGAAATCATCCATCTAGTGGTTCATTCTCCAAGTGGAAACAGCAACTGGGGCTGGGTGCCCAAAGGCAGGAGCTGAGAGCTTTTTCTGGGTCTCACGTGAGTTCCAGGGCCCAGATACTTGGGCCATATTCTGCTGCTTTTCCCAGGCACGTTAGTAGGGAGCTAGATCAGAAGTAGGGCAGCTGGGACACAAACTGGTGCCGATATGAGATGCTGGCATCACAGGCGGTGGCTTTACCTGCTACCCCACTGTACCAGCCTCCCTCCCCCGCCCCCAGCAAAGTGTAACTACTAGGCCAGAACACCCATAGTACAAAGTATTGTTTTTTAAAGATTTATTTATGTATTTGAAAGTCAGAGTTACACAGAGAGAGAGTCAGAATTGCACGGAGAGAGGAGAGGCAGAGAGAGAGAGGTCTTCCATCCTATTGTTCACTCCCCAATTGGCTGGAACTCCCGGAGCTGTGCTGATCCAAAGCCAGGAGCCAGGAGCTTCTTCCGGGTCTCCCATGGAGATGCAGGGGCCCAAGGACTTTGGCCATCTTCTACTGCTTTCCCAGGCCATAACAGAGAGCTGGATCAGAAGTCGAGCAGCTGCGTCTCAAACCGGCACTCATCTGGGATGCCGGCGCTTCAGGCCAGGGCATTACCCCGCTGCACCATAGCACCAGCCTCTACAAAGTATTTTTGTGAGTGAATAAATGAGTAGAGATTGGAGCATACCAAAGTATGATGAGAGAGAACATTTGAATTTGAGCCTCAGATTCAAGATGAACTTCAAATAAAACATTTTATTTATTTGACAGGTAGAGTTACAGTAAGAAGGAGAGACAGAGAGAAAGGTCTTCTTTCTGTTGGTTCACCCCCTAAATGGCCGCTACTGCCGGAGCTGCTGCTGCTTCCTGGTCTCCCATGTGGGTGCAGGGGCCCAACCATCTTCCACTGCCTTCCCGGGCCACAGGAGAGAGCTGGACTGGAAGAGGAGCAACCGGGACTAGAACCTGGCGCCCATATGGGATCCAGCGCCGCAGGCGGAGGATTAGCCAAATGAGCCGCGGCGCTGGCCCAAATAAAACATTTTTAACATAGTATCTTAGGCTGGCGCCACAGCTCACTAGGCTAATCCTCCACCTTGCGGCGCCGGCACACCGGGTTCTAGTCCCGGTCGGGGCGCCGGATTCTGCCCCGGTTGCCCCTCTTCCAGGCCAACTCTCTGCTGTGGCCAGGGAGTGCAGTGGAGGATGGCCCAAGTGCTTGGGCCCTGCACCCCATGGGAGACCAGGATAAGCACCTGGCTCCTGGCTTCAGATTGGTGCAGCGCCGGCCATAGTGGCCATTTGAGGACTGAACAACCAACAGAAGGAAGACCTTTCTCTCTGTCTCTCTCTCACTGTCTATAACTCTACCTGTCAAATAAGTTTAAAAAAATTCTTAAAACACATACACATACACACAAAAAAGAAAACAGATAAGTGGAATAATGAAAAAGAGGATGTTAGTTACATTATCAAGAAAGTAGGTACAGGGGCCGGTGCTCCTGCCATCGGATCAGCGCGGTGCGCCGGCCGCAGCACGCCGGCCACGGCAGCCATTGGAGGGTGAACCAATGGCAAAAGGAAGACCTTTCTCTCTGTCTCTCTCTCTCACTGTCCACTCTGCCTGTCAAAAAAACAAAAAAAAACATAGTATCTTGATGAGGTTATAGTTACAGTCCTTGAGATACAGTAAAGAGATTGAGAGATTTTCACTATAGAACATTTACACTTGTTCCACAACTGGGTCTCAAAGCAAATAGTGTACCATGAATTACTGCATTTAGTATTAAATCTTGTGATTATTTACATCTCAATTATATCACACCAAATTTTGTGTATTAAAATTAATTGGATTGATGTAAACATTTAAAATATGTCATAGTTGTGGTGATCTTGCTGCGACATGTCCTCATTTTAAAACTTATATTGAGAACCTTAAAAAAAAAGTATCAGGAGTGGCCCAACATTTTGTTAGCCCCTTGGAGACTTTGATAGAGACCAACCACTGACCTCTGTGGCTCTGGCTTTTTTCCTAAACTGTTGAGCCCTCTGCTGAATGTGTTCACTGCACCTTTAATTGCTTTGTCAGCTTAGCTGGAATTTACAGATAACTTTTGCTACAAAGAGTTAAAATATCAGAGCGTTTTACCATTCCAAATTTTAGAAATAGGAATTTGAGACAAATTAGATTTTTCTAATAGAAATGTTCTGAGCCCAAAGCCCTAAAGGGGAGTAAGGAAACCAATTAACTTTAATTTAAATAATCATGTCTTAAGTAGCAAATGAGCCAAGTTCTATTGTTAAAGAACAACTGTATTAAATCCCCAAAAGGTTAGCTTCAGAATGGCATAAATGCTGTGGTTTCATGTCTTACTAATAAAGTCAGTTTATATTGGTCACTGGAACCTGTTTGTTGTCTTACTGGACATTGTTATTGAGAGCAGATGAGGAGAATGATTAAGAGATCAAAGATAGGAATAATTGTGGGAAATTCCCATTGATGTTCCTATTGTTAGTAACTTGTTCTAAAAGAAACAAACAAAACAGCTAATGGTATTCCTGGGAAAAAATAATTTAAGAAAATGTGAGAAAAAACTTATGTTCTTGTCACAAAACTTGTAAATATAGTATATATGAATTTCTGCTTGTTCCTGTGATTCAAAAATAATGTGTTTATGATGACTGCACTCACTATTGCTGCTGTAGATACAAACATCCCAAGTGTTTATAGCCACAATGACTGGCTTTCTGCCAACATCTCTGAACTGTGAAGAAACCATCGAAACCATATTAATGAGGTATATATTATTAATAGAGTATAAAAGGTGTATACCAAGCTCTGGGTGGTGAGTTAATGCCTGGAGATTTACTCTGGATGAATTAATGTCATGGGGTAGAGAGGGCATGAGTTTGGCAGACAGTTTGAAGCCAGATCGTGGAAGGCTGTAAATGCTAAGCTTGAAGGCTCACACTCCCTTTCTCTCATGCCTTCTTGTTTGATTGCTTCCTCCTTGTGTGCTGCCTTTGTGGCCTTCAAGAAGCAAGTTAGCCTCTCTGAGGCAGTCTCTGCATCTGTAACGGGGATAACAATCCTGTGTTACAGATACGCTGGGAGGATTAAGGCAGGGAAAGCGTGTAACCAACACATACTTGTCTTAGCGTTGTTTTCTACAAATGAAATGCCGCTCTCTGTTCCCCCTTATTAACTACTTTTGCACACCAGTGTCACATCCTGGACCTTACTGCTCTGGGATATTTTGGGGAAGTTTAACAAAACCGCTATAGAATTTGTCAAAATGGAAAATAGCCTGGATTGACAAGAACAGTTTTGAAAAAGAAAAGAATTAGAAGGATTAGTAAAGACCTTCTGGAAATAGTTTTTTCTTCAAAACATAGCCACCACCTTTGCTGGCAACGTGACCTGTGTCTTGTCCCAATTATTTATGCAAATCAAGACAACTGTTTTCCTGGGACAGGCTTAGGTGAAATTATGCTATTAAAGAAAAATTTTTAAAAAACCCACTGTATTTCTATTATTGCTTGCTCAACAGCAACACTGTTTTGCTGCAAGAGGAAAATAATTGTACAGAATGCTCCCCCACCCCCACCTAAAAA